TTACAACTTATTGTATTTAAAAGACTTTTGGTCGTTTAAACAAAGATGCCATAGGCAAAAATAAATTGTACATGATAAATTCTGCAATATCCCTCTMCCCCCTCATCATGACAAAATCGTTTGATTTCCATAGCCTATAAACTATTACTATTTAATTTGATGATTTATTTTCAAATTTAAATTATTACGAATATTATAACGATACCCTACTCAAATAATGATGTACCTATATATTAGAAACCTATATACCTGTATAAMGATTGCTTTATTATTAATTATATTTTATTCACATAATATTATGTACAATAAATACATATTATACTTACATTTATATCATGTAATATTTTAGAAACATAACAAGTACAATATGCTGACTATGTATATATATATTACTATATATGCTACTCTTRACTAGTCTCACATTTATTATTGTAAGGCTRCGGCAGTGCGGCCAAATACCAAAATGTAAGACAACGGAAGTTCTCCGAGATTACCATCATGAATTCACACGCACCTGAACTTTGAGATAGCCGTAAATCTTGGTAAGCTTTGTTCATAAGTAATAAATAATAATAAACTTTGATATATTAACAATGATTTGAATCAATTTATATTTCTTTGTAATATTATCAAAATCCCTAAATACCCTTCGTGCTCCCGAGCTATGGTCAAAATATATTCAAAAGAATCTGAATTCTTTCCTGAATATTCTATAATTGACTGGTATCTCCGATCACATTACATTKTAAWAGAGCGAATTCATCTGGGTTTTTTTTCAAACATTATTTTTACTGAGTTAAAATATGTAGGTACACCGTATTGCTAGGCAATGGCTTATTGTTGGCTGTCGTGACGATTTTTGTTGTACACAATGTTGTTGCATATTATAATATCATCTACAAAAACGAAATCATACTATCGTATAGTTCATGCAGCGGTTTCGTAGACTGGTCTGCGACAGTACCTATTACTTATATTATCATCATTGTCGGCTGGCGTAATGATTACGTACGATACATTATTGTGTTTTTCGATGATTTGCAGTTCCACCGTCATCGTATTTGCCTCGTAAGTGTAATATTATATTAAAGTAAAATATTATAAAACGCCAATTACAATAGTATCATGGTAAAGAAGTGCACAATTCGTTCATTTCGTTTGATGATATTGTATTTAGTTTTAGTATTTAGATGCACTAGGTATACTTTATATTTCAAACTTGTATTATTTTGATCTTATATTTTAAAGAATTAGGATTAGTTATATATGATAATCTTCAACAATACGAATTGATCTTTGATATAAAATTAATAATATATATATACCTATACTCCAATGTAATTATCTATTCTTGAATAAATATAGTAAATCATATAATTACCATTAGATGTTGAAATATTTATCTTAAATTAAAAAAATAATAATAATAATACATAACTGTATGCTAAATACGTACAGTAGCATAGCCAGGGTTAATCAATGGGGGGATAAGTAAAAAATTTACACATTTTCTTTACAGTTTAGGGGGAAAATGTCAAAGGATGAGGAGGTTAATCACCTCAAAGTTACGCCACTGAAAACGTATACGTTTTAAACCTTTAAGTTCACTGTCGGTAAGCCATGTAARGTTTTGTGAAATAAAAAGTTATTCTATTAAATTATAATATATTATTTTTTCAAATTAAATCATTTATCATAACTTTAAATTTAAAATAGGTAGTTTTCATAGATTTGTAAAATGAAAAATTGGTTGGAAGCGATAGAAAATATTTACCCGGTCATGAGGTTATTAGGTTTTTAAATCAAAAAAACAAAAATAGTTATTAAAATATAATTGTATTGTGAGACAACCAAAATTCACTATGAACTATAATAATCTATGGTTCTTTATAATATCTATGTTCTTCTAATTTTAATAACTATGCAAATATACCCTTTAAATTTGCCAATATTACCTACATCCATTAAAATAACGCTGTGGCTAGATAAGACATACTTATTCTAAAAATACGTGTTACGTAGGAGCAAAGGTCCGATAAATTTTCTGAAGGTGTTTGTAAACAACAAAAAGATCGAGAAACCAGCACAAATATTGCCGATCAAACAGGTGATCAGCACCAACCTGGCCATTGCGGCCGATCAGGGAACTCCGACGAGAATGACGTTCAGGGACGTGTACTTGCACAAGACAACTGACTACAACAGCAATAACCACGTGACAACGGACGACTGTGTCAGAGACTACGTGACTGAGAACTGCGATAAGAGAATCGTCGGAGATGCAAAAACCGTGACCAGATACCCTATAGATGACGCGCTAGTGCAGCGAATGTGTTTGGACATCGCATCCGCAGTGCACCGGCAGATCAGTGAACAGACAGTGGACTCTATTGTGTTTGACGCCACTTCATCAGGCACCACGATTTACCAGAGGTCAGAGCAGCAGCAGAAGAAACAACACCAGAAGCATGAACAGCAGCAGCAGAAGATGAAAAAGCAGCAGCAGCAAAAGCAACAACAGCAGCAAAAGAAGCAACACAAGCAGAATGAGCAGCTGAACAAGCTGCAGGATTACAAAGCACAACAGCACAAGCTGCAGCAGCTGAAAGAGCAGCAGCACAAACAGCAACAGCAGCAGAAGGACCGATATCAGCTCGAGCAGCAGCAACATAAGCAGCAGAAGCGACGACAGCATTCATACTCGAAGGTATCGACACGTCCAGTCCGTTACAACGAACGCAAGGAGTCAGGCATCGTCACAATCAGACCGGAAGACTGTTATAACGACCCGTCTGTTACTAAAGAATCCATCCGAATCGACCAYTTGACCAGTGTTGATGTGATCGAGGAAGGCGTAGACGACAACAAGCARGACGAGGATGCGGAACAGTCTCCCAAAGTGTGGGAGGTGAACATGGTTGACGATAATGTCATGTTAAATTCGGCGAAAARCTTTGAGCAGCAACCGGAAGAGGCCGTCGTCACTATCAACACCGCCAATTACAACGACGTCGACCAGAGTTCTTAGAGACTTACTGCAGGAGGAGTCAACACGCTTCTCGGTGCACTTTCAGTTTCATGGTTACATATTTTTGTCTTTTTTTTTTTTTGTTACATTTGAGCTATCTACTACAAAATTATAATTATTAATTTTATTATTATTATTATATAACGTCTGTGTAATATGTATAATATGTGATATGTATAGTTGTCGATATACATTGCAGAGATGTAAAGGCGACGTGAGAAAAACATGTACGCACATAAATAAATACATATTGTTTTATATCGTTATGTTGTCCAAAACGTCCTTTATAATATACCTATAGTATTTATTACAGATGTTGTCAATATTTTGGGATTATGTGTCACAAACATTACGAATCAAGTTCCAATCAGAGTGAATATGAAAGCATTTCATACTTTGAARTTTAAACTGTAGTTATGTTCTATGAATGATTTTTTGTCATTAATAGTATAAAAAAAAACAATGGTTAGAATTATAATAATATACATTACGAAAATTTTTTGTAGGTTAGGTTACTAGTCTTAAAATAATAAATAAAATTTYATATAACATATCTAGTTATTTATTTATTTGATAAATTGTTTTTTATTTCTAATAAGAATTAGAATAATCGTCATTTACATGCTTCAGTTTGACGAAACATAGACCTATACATGTCGCAATGGCACTTTAATCGGTTTGATCAAAGATCTAAAGCCGGTATTACACTGGATGRTCGACACGTTGATTCGTCATCTGCTACCGAATTCYGTTCAACTTTCGTACCGATTTGATTTATSGATCGACAAAACTCCAGATCAGCAAAAAGTCGGCAAACATCAAAGGAAGTGAATCGACAACCGCACGATAGTGATTTGTGCGTAGTGATTTATTATTGGTAAAAAAAATTTTYAACGTGGCTAGAATTTTTATCAGGGGGCATCCAAATGTGTTTATAAATTTTTGCCCCAAGTTGGTCCCCCCCTTGGATATGCCGTTAGTAATCAGAAAATTGTGTYCAGCTACAGTCTGAGCGGGATTTATAGAAAGGCTGTAGAATCTACAGTGTAGATGGTTCATTGATTTTTTGGAAAAATAGTGCCCTTTGAAATGTATCATTTTATTTTAAATTTTGAACGGAGAAATGAATGTATTAATTTTACAATGATGTGTGTTTTTATGTATATATACATATATATATTTTTTTTGTGTTCATAAGTTTTTTTTTTTATAATAATATATTGTGTATGCTATACTTTATGATGAATTATTAGTTAACACGCTATTTATTTATTATTTGTTCTTTATTGAATTACTAGCTGAACCCGTGCACTTCGTAGCACGTTATGTTACAGGCAAAGTAGGAAGTCGGATATTTTGCTCAAATATTACTATATTTTATAGTAAAATACATTTTAAATTGGCCGTTAAAAACTCAGTTTTATTTACTGTATCCGAAGYGAGGCGCTTGTTGAATTTTTGTTTTAAACTAACTAATAGAAAATCAGCTAATATCAATATTAATAGCTTATTTTTTCTGAATTTAGGGATACTAACACCTCAAAATCATAATTTGGCTAATGGGAGGTTTTTCATGTCAACGAAGATATCTCATGATAAATAGTTTTTAAATTAAACTAACAATTATTAATATATATTTTAATAAATCTATTGTATCGGCTATCAGTTAGAATTTATTAGCTTAGTCAGTCTGGTCAATTATACATTATTGAACACTATATTGTTTACAAAGAGTCCATATAATGTGTTGTATTTGTACCAAAAAATAATAATAAATAATAACTGCTACAGCAGGTTTCCAATGTTAATTTCGTATTTAAACAATTAATGTAATTACAAATTGTATACATCTAAGTAAAAAAGATAGAAGTCCRCGAAAAATAAATAACTAAAACGCAATACACTGCGAATTTTCTTTCTATTTATTTTTTTCATACATGAGCGTATAAATAACACGATTTCGATCATCGGTCAAGTGTACACAGGATTGGTCGACTCTATTTTGCAGGATTTGAGTTTGATACAATTCAGGTCACTGTAAAGTCTCTTTAGCACGTCGATGAAGGACGATTCGTTGGAGTTGCTGCTCTGTATGTCCTGCCGGTTTACTGCGTCTTCAGAAGGACAGCAGTTGGCGGTGCTCGGTCTCTCACCACCACAACCACTACTCACACCACCATCACAACCACTGCTCACACCACCATCACAACCACTGCTCACCCCACCATCACAACCACTGCTCACACCACCATCACAACCACTGCTCACACCACCATCACAACCACTGATCACACCACCACGCTGACGGGCCTCTTCACGCATGCGGCATAGCTGTCGCTCCAGGTCCGCGATCTTCTTCTTTTTGCACCGCAGGTCGTCGATTAGCGTGCTTCGTTCCCGCTCCAATCGTTCGCACTTTTCATCCTTGGCCCGATTGAGCGATTCTGCTATCTGGTGAAGTTCCTCYAMTTGGCACTCTTTGGCCCGCAACTGACACTTGAGCGATTCGATTTTAGTGACCACCAAACCGTTGTTGCGGCGTACTTCAGCCATCTCGTCTTTGGCCCGGCTCAGCTTTTCGGACTCCGCACAGTTCTCTTCCTTTATGGCACTCGCGGCTGCCTCCGCTTCGTACTTCTCGAGGACCATCGTCTCCCGCAACTCAGCTATCGCTGCCTCCTGCTTATTCACGTTTTCCCTCAGCTCGGCTACTGTCCGGATGGACGTATCCAGCTCGGCTTTGATGGCTCCTAGATCTCGTGCCTTGTCCTCCAGTTTTTCCGCTAGCTCAGCCTGCTCCCGCTTCAGACACTCTACAGTTTTCTTCAGCCGACACTTGACGCCTGCAACATCGGCMGCCGACCGTTCCAGTGCACATTTGGCAGCACTGCATGCCGCACACAGGCGTTTGCACTCGGCCTCACTTGCTGTCAACGATTTCTGGAGATTTTCGGATTCTTCTTTTTTCGTCTTGAGCGTTTTCTTCAGGCTGTTGATGTGACACTTCATTTCCTCCACACGAGTCTGGAACGAAACGCGTGGCAAAGTGGTGTAACGTTATTGCACTTAACTATTATTACACCGCTGTTGGGTCGGGTTAACTGATTCTTTTATTCTGTTTCCGAAAACGTGCAGATCATGAGATAAAGTGAAATAGATTTATACTTAAAGTATATTGAGTTAAGAGTTGAGAAGTATAAGATTTTGAAGCTCTTTATTTTTATTTTTTTTGCTTTAGGGATGACGTTCTTTAATGTAATAAATCACTTAAGATAGACTTAAAGATTATCTGAACTTCCCAAATATTGCTTATTGAAACATTTATGTTACCCCCATCGAATTGTCCTACAGCAGATCTGAAAGGTAAACGATAATCAAAAAAGTATACATTTATATTTTTAAACAAAGGCCAAGTCTCTGTCGAATAATGCGTCGTTGTATTTTGTCGTAGCATTAGTTTTAATTGCATATTATACACTGCTCGTTACAAACATAACGTCGTATCACATATTAGGTATATTTTTAATTCTGATTGCGTTTCAAAAATAAAGTCCTATTATAAAACTAAAACATAGTTTGCTTTCACTTCACACTGATAATATTATTTTGACCTTAGGTTTATTTTTTAAATATTCCACATTTCATTACATTTCAATCAATGTTTTATATAAAATACATATTAATTAACTTTATATTCTCATAATTATTTGGATTAATATATTAATTTAATTGATTAATAATAGTTTAATAAAAGGATTTATACTTCTAAATATTATATAAAAATAGAAAAATGTTATGCACTATTTCTGAAATCCTAATTTGTTTATTCGTTAAACTGAATTTGGGTTTCGAGCTTTGCGTACCTACTAATAGGCATACTATATTTTYAAGTAAAACTACAATTCATCAATACTGTTGTTGCATACCGATAATATGACGATCCCCGTTACTTGTCAATAGATATATCTATGTATTCAGTVATTATTATTTGCATTTTCCAAAGTATTATAATATTCACAACCAACATTAATATGTTAGTACATTGTCATGTGTATTATTATACAGAATAATATATACTAATAAAAGAACTAATAATTATTGATTAAGCTTACTTTAGTACTGCAAAATTCATTTTGAATATTCACTTTACATAATTCCAATTTCTCAATTTCGGCGGTTAGTGCTTGTTCTTTCCGGTTTAGTGTGTTTAGCTTCTCAGCTATACAGTCATTGGCGGTTTGAAGTCTAGTATTTTCTGATCGCAACATGCATTCTTGAACTTCAGCTTCTTTTATCTTTTGTTTTTGTTTGTTGATAATATTGAACACATCATTGTTCGATTGTTTCACTTTATAATCAACATCTTCTATCCACTGTTGTAAATTATGCAATCGGCATTTTAAATCATCTTTCTTCGAAATATCTTTGTCATATGTGACCAAATTGTCCTTAAGTAAACTTATTTGACTATTGAGATTAGCCAACTTGTCTTTCAAATCTAGTGTTGTTTTATCTCGTGACATCTAAAAATATTAAACACAATTATGTTTTCTCAAAAAGTTATTTAAACAAATTTACTTACATTTATTTAATTTTTTAGAAATTTTGTTAAATTGTTTTTTTTTTTTTGTTTATAGTAAGTTGTATTTATAAAACTAATTTTTAGTGTTGTTTATTTTAACTACATAATGTTCCAGCCAGTATATCTTTTATCATATAATAAGTAATACCTATTAAAACAACTGATGAATTCGGTCTGCCATATAGTAGGTGTCGAGTGTACCTATGTCTTACCTRCTTCGTCTTTAAGTATTTAATGTAATGAATGTGATACATTTGAATTCAACGACTACTTCTACTACTCTGTTCATTCAGACTATTAATACTAAATATATATACTTAACGTAGTATATCATATGTGAACGGGGTTGTATATAATCATACATAATTACATTAGTGTAGGCGTAAAATGTTAATATAATATARGCCTTTAAATATGGGGACTATGAGGAGGCTAAGTTGCATTTCATCTAAAATGTCTTTATGCATTATAATGCTTTTTTTATTCATTTTGAACACTTTAAAATTGAAATTCCTATTTTTTGTGCATATGTTAGGGTTAGGTCTCCCACTCATCAGTTCAAAAATTATGTCACSACTGATACCTGATTCTCATCGCCCATTACCTATTATATTAGGTACCTAGGTATATAAGCTTTATCATCAAAAAGGTTAACGAATAACKGTATAATATATTGTTGTTCTTATTGGTCAAGATATTACGAATAAATAGGTATACTCGCATAGTATATAGATACTTATTAATTATGATTTGGAAAAAATTACGAATTCTGTTTGATTTTATGAATAGGTGCATATTTTTCTTGGACGACCAGTCGAATTGTGTTATTTAAAATAATATTAACAATCAATATGTGTTAAATAATATTAGATAGGTACCAAGATAAACACTTAAAAKTATGTTATACATTCATTTTATAATAAATTGGAATATACTTGTTAGTTGTTTTATGTTGTTAGCTTATATATGTAACCTGAAATGTTAACAATTTAGGAGATGACGAAAATTCCTAGGGAATGACTACCATTCCTAGGAAATTTTATCACGCATCGGTTACATACACGAAAGCATTGACGATTATGATGTTTGAATTGATTAGAATGATAACTAAGTAACATGCTAATAACCATTATATTGCAACTACTGTTCGTATTATATTGTCAATGTTCTAAAAATATCAGGTAGGTAAATGAATGGTATCGATAAAATGGTTGATTGGAAAGTGATGTCATGGCTATCGCATGGGTATTACACAATAATATGTTTATAGTAAGTACATATGTATATGTGTATTATAATTTAATGTGTAATCCTACTGGCTGAATCCGAGTTGGGTGCCAGATTTAAAATTACTACACTAGTTGGGTCCCGAATTATTTTAGGTATTACACTAGTTCGATCCCTAATTTTTATAGTTACTACACTAGTTGGGTTCTGAATGATTTTAGCTACAACATTAGTTCTTGAATATTTTTTGATAAGTACTACACTATACTAACATTTTCCTTCCCATTTTAACAGACTTAGGACTGTCTATAATCTATTTAGACCACAGGCATGGTTGAAAATGTTTTTTACAGTTTTTTTTTTTTGTTTTGTTTCTTTTTCATTAAAATATAAGTTATTAGAATTTTATAAAAAATAAATCACTTTTGTGTCGGTAAAAATATTAAAAATGTTAAGAACCAAGTATAAAAATGCATATCATAGGTTAGGTTAGGTATGGCCATAATGCCATATAGGTTTTTAACATTTTTAATATTTTTAGCAACACAAAAGTGATTATTTTTTATAAAATTCTAATAACTTATATTTTAATGGAAAAGAAACAAAACTAAAAAAACAAATACTGTAAAAACATTTTCAACCATACCTGTGGTTTAAATAGATTATAGACCCAACTAGCATAGTGCCTACAAAAATCCGGGACCCAACTAGTGTAGTACCTACGATTAGTCCCTAGTACTCGGGACCCAACTCGGATGCGCCGATCCTACCAGTAAAAATGTAAAAATGCCTAAATCACTCAAAATAAAGTAATAAAAAAAGATTTTCGAGAACACTTGATTTTTAWTAATTATTTATTACGGTAATAGCTGGGTAATTAATAATTATGTTTGATAAAAGTAATATTTAATTATGCWGATTAAGGTAAAATATCTAAAAAAAAATGTATGACATATTTGCCTGATATCGTTAGGAATTGTCAACATTTCCAGTAACATATATATTGACACAAAATTTACAATATTTTCATGATAGATGTTTAGCGTTTCTCAAAAAGTCGTGGGTAAACGAGAACGAACACACTGCAATTAAATGCGGTGCACTTTATTGACATAAATAATATTAAATTATTACACTTTTATAATATGGCGTATAACACATAATATACCTGTGCAGTGTGTGTGTATAATGTAGGTGTATTATATTGTTGTTATATAAAGGACGATCGGTCGTGTATAATAAGACTTCTTGCGAGCCCCCAAGAAAAAACGGTGGCGTGTGCGTGTGCGACGACGACGTAGGCCGTAGGGTTTCTCTGGCTTGTGTGGATTAATTCCAAAACACCGTCCGTATACGATATGCCTATATTATATACCTCTAATAATATACATTATACAGGCACCAGTGGAATCTGTTACAATAAGGGTCCGTGGCGGCCGATCCTTTTCTCAAAGTCTTTATATGACATGCGGGAAAAAATAATAATATAACAATAATAGCATAATAGTTTCGTCCCCGCGCGTAAGTCTTTCTCTTGCGCGCRCGCACACGCATATTATACAGGTCGCAATATCCCTTTTTTCCCTTTATATGTTCCACGGCGCGATTCCCAGTCACCTACCGGTCTTTGTTCGGTTTCCCTTTGTCATGGTAATCGCGCCCGGGTTACTCGCGCGACGACCTCGACGTGGTCGTAGACTCGTAGTCGTCGCAACCGCCACCGCCACCGCCGACGACGATCCGGTATAAACATCATCGCGTATATTATTATTTTATATTATCATCATCTTCTCCGCCGGCAATTTTGGATTCCACAACGGATAACACGCGGCAAACTCTTTTTTTTACCCGCTCACTCTCTCTCTCTCTCTCTCTCTCAATTTTTTTTATATATTTCTTCTATCTGCGTTACACCACCGAACTCCCGTCCATTGTTGACCGTGTGAAAGGGATGTGTTGTACCTGCGGCGTTGGTGGCACTCCCCGCATCCCCCAAGTGTCAATTGTACCGATGATGATAATAATAATAATAATAATAGTAATAAAAATAATACCATCTGTGGTCGGCCAGCACCTTTTCTTCCACACGACAACGGCGTATATACAATCGCCGGCTGCCATTGTCGCGATGAGAACCTTTGTTGCCACGGCGCGGACACAGCTCTTCCGAGACGCCGCCGCTACCACCAGTATAAGTAGGTATATGGTTATCGTACACTGCACAACAATACAAAACTATCCATATGTCCAACAGTATGTGTCTAATACGAGATATTATATAATATATCTTTTAACTAGAGCACGGGATTGTATAGCGTTGAGGTATATCGGACTTAAGCCCCCTTCCAACAAAAATAAAAAGGATTGGTCTCTAACAGTTTGGTAATTTTATTGTTTATTATTATATAAAGTGCTTTCACCTAAAATCGTTTTTTATGATTTTTGAATAACCTTCGAGTAAAATACTAAAATATACCTCTTACAAAAATTATAGAGGATAACATTTTTGAGGTTATGACATATCGATTTTATGTATTCTTTGAGTAAGATTCGACAACCAAAAAAATAAAATAAATTTTATGAAATAAAATGATTTTTAAATTGTTTTAAGACAATATTTAGAAAGATCGATACTTCATTCCCTCTACTATTACTTATCGATTTTATAATATATGATTTTACTTTAAGATTATTCACAAACATAAAAAAAAATGACTCTGTGTAAATACGTTTTGTAAACGTTGTGCGTGAAGCAGAGAGAAAAATAAACAGTTAGATGACATCTTCTTCATCCAGGTAATATCGCTAAGAATTTTCAAAAAACRAAAAATGTAATTCAAATTGTTTTTAATGAGTTATACCGTATAATTCATTACCATCTCGAATATTAATAGTAATTTATTATTAATCGATCGCAGTATTATAGTTTACTATAAAAAATGTTCAACTCCCATGTGGCCATGTACAACAAAAGTTCCAAAAAGCGAAAGAAAAATTCACACAGAACCAAAAACCTGGTTTTAATTTTGAAAAAATAACCTACCTGAATTCCTTAATCTCTTTTCTAGRTCATGTAGTAAATGGATTTTCGATTTGATGTACTATTTAGTTAATCAAGTAGGTACCAAATTAATTTTCTTTTCTTTTTCAAAATTCGCTTTTATTTTAGTGTTGCTAAAGAAAAATCAATTTTCTWAGAAACACAGACAATAAAGCGAACGAGTTCAAWTATTTTTTTCAAAATTAAAATTTAACTTCTATAAATGTATCGTTTTTCTTCTGTTTATAGGTCTAAATTCACAGAAAAACGATAAACTTTCAATATCTTTAATTAGAAATATATAATTTAACTTGTCTTATTATTTTAACTCGTCACAATTTAATTTTTAATATATTTTGGACAATGCATATTTGTACATAATTAAAATCAGTTATTTTCTAAGCACCTACAATTTTTGTTAAAAATATATGTTAAAGATAAAATTTTATTTAGCTACCTACCTATAACGATTAGTTACTCAATTATACTCATATATGATATAACTTGACTAACACCATGAACATAAATAGTTTATACTTATAGCTGCTTACTTGAGATATTTTACTTGTATTCCATCCACAATCACTRCAACACGAACAACTCGTAAAACATGTGGAATGAATATAACATGAAGCGTAYCATCGTGTTAATTATTTTCAGACTCGATTGATCGG